GATTATCAGAAAGGGAGAAAGTGTTCAAAGGTTCTTTCTGGGTTTTTTCTATTCGATATGTATTCGGAAAAGAAATTAGCACTACAAAAATCGATATATTTTTGTTCTTATACAATTTTATTGGAATTATAGTAATACAAATCCCTAACTTTTAGTCCTAATTGTTGGGATACGTTTTTTATTTCTGTAAATAGAGATAAACAAAGTCAAAGTAGTATAATTATAGTAAACTGTAAAAGTTCAATATTGGACATTTTACATGATTCAATTAAGGAAATGTTTACTAACTAAAATTTTAGTCGATTTTTAACTCAAAAATATTAGGAAAATACTTAAATTACTATTTCGTCCAATATGAAATCTATATTTAAAGGATAAAATAGGCGAACGATATTTCGTTAAGGGTCTTCGTGCTTTTAATATAGTACTAGCATTAGAGTACGCGTGTTGCGCGTGAACCTATAATAATGAGTATAAGATTATGAAAATTAGATAAACAGTTTTTAAATAATATGTTTGAGATATAAATAAAACTAAAATGAGCTCATGAAAACGACGAATACAACGTCTCTAAAATGAATAATATTGAGTACGTTTGCAGATTTAGGAATTTATATTGATTAAATAGATCAAAATAGAAATACTATCTATTGTACGTTTCAATCAGCTTCTCAATACTAAAGTTAAACTGTTTAATTTTCATCTTAATATATCAGTTTGATAATTTTTACATTATAAATTATAGGTATTAGGAAAATAAAATTTCTATAATTAAAAGTATTTAGTAGAAGTATTAAGTCTTAACTAAAAAAAAAACATAAACCTTTTTTTTTCCGTGGCTTGAAATGAACAAAAGAAGTAACTTTTTATCTATAAAAACATAAAAAATTCAAAATGCGAAACAAAAACAGTCGAAAATTATCTTACTTTTTCTTTTCTTTTTAACCTATTATTTTTCCTTTTGAAGATCTGTTATATTATTAAATAGGGAAAGTTTTGGGACACAAAATTTAGTTGATTTTGAAGTCCTAAATATTAGGAAAATAATTAAATGACTATTCCTAAATATTAGAGAGATAACTAAAATGACTATTTTGTCCAATATGAAACTTTATTTAAAGGGTAAAATAGGCGAACGATATTTCGCTAAGGGCCTTCGTGCTTTTAATATAATATATACTAGTTATTATGTACATGCGTTGCACGTTAATAATGACACGTGATGGTTTAGTCTTGAGACTTGAAAGACCACTAAATAAATATGGAAACAAACAAGAATTTTTTCATGACTTTGCAGTCTTAGTATAAAACTTCGACTGCCAGCAAATACGTCACCTATTGTTGCCGATCAAGCAAATCAAATTATGGCTTATGATATATGTCATTATCACTCCAAAATTTTGACAAATCAATTAACGTAAAAACACCTTCAATTCTATATGATACAAACTAAAAAGTAATAGACATCTAATACGTAGTGTAGTGAAATTAAAGAGCTAATAATATATCTCGAGAAGTTTGTTAAAAGGGTTTCATAGTACATCCCAACAGATTTAAAGATCATGGATTCATGTTCTCAAAGTTAAAAAAGGAAAATGAAACAAATTGCTGTATATTTTGTTTAATACACATGATGTGAATACCATATTGCGGCAGAGGCATTTTAGTCTATTAAAGAATTAGGTTTTCAGTGTTGTCCAAAAAGAATTAATGTCCTACCAATAGCCTGAATTTTTGCAGTGGATGTTAAGCACAAAAAGGGAAAAAGAAAAGGAAATACAAGTTTCCTTCGTAATTCAATGGTTCTGAATGAAATTAGATGACTTCTACTGTAGCAAGTGCTAGGGTAAATATTTTTTGCTTGCGTTTATAAATAGATCCAGCACTCAAATTTTGCAGAGGGGTAATAGGCAATGAAGTAGCAAACTTTTGACCAGCACACCAATTTAAGTAAAAAAAAAAATCGAATTTGTCTGCTGAATCCATGGGAAGGCAAGAGAGAACCAGGCGAACTGAAAGATCTTAGTAGCCAAAGGAAAAGAAAGCAAAAGCGATTCCCGTAGTAGCGGCGGGCAAAATGGGAGCTGCCTAAACCGTGAAAACGGGGTTGTGGGAGAGCAATACAAGCGGCGTGCAGCTAGGTGAAGCAGCCCGAATGCTGCACCGTAGATGGCTAAGGGCAAATTTCTATATCTCGCATCTACGGAATATGAGAATCTCTTTCGTCGAAATGAAAGAATTTTCTATTGAATGGAAAATGATTTTACATCATCAAGTAAAGGAAAAAAGAAATTATTTAGTACTTACTTTTGATACTAATTCAAATTGCCTTGTTGTGTCAGAAGAAGGATGAACTACCTATAGATTTGTATGTAAGTGCACGATAGGAATTAAGAGAAAGCTGACATCCAATCAAGAAAGAATCACTTCGGACAATTAGACTAAGCTTCCCCCTTCTCTCTCTTCTTTAGCTAATGATGAAGCAAATCCCTAAAGTCAAAAGGAATAGGACCTAGGGCGTGAAATAGCTCCTAAAAAGAATTTCTCTCAGGGTGTTCACTTCTACTAGTCTCGCCTACAACGGATTCAAATTACTAACATGTAGTTCAAAAATAAAGTTGAAATAGTAACATATTAGAGAATACTGGAAATCTACCCCCAAAAAAAAAGATATTGTAATGAAAATTTACGGAATGACAGAAGATTGATAAATCCATAATCTTTTTCTATTTTGATTTTTTTATGAATTATTGAATGAGTATCTTCTTTGTCTCTACAATCTTTTGTCTTCTTGATTCTTTTGTCCAACTCTATCACGTCTTCCTCAGCTTCAAGGGCAATAATAATTCCAACTTCATGCATCTCTTCAGCAATTAAGTCCCTTTTAACTCCATTGCCTTGAGGTCTTTTATCAATTGTCACCAGAAAAGTAAATTCTTTATTTTTACTCAAGATCATCTTCTTTAGACAAGTTTTTATTTTATTGGAGACTCGGATGAGGTGCAAAAAGACATATGGCATTCCAAGAACCAGATATGGTGCAACTGAATCTCGGCACGGAGGAGGCGTCAAAGATGATCAAAATCAGGATTTTTCTATTTAGTTAACACCTTTTCTCATTGAGTATTAAATTCTTAGTGTACCATAGGCGGTAATATGGCTTTAATCGATTCTCTTCTTATAGTTAAAGATTTCAGTCTGGAAACAAAAACATCAGTAAGGTGTTTTCGTTCGGATATAAACATGGCAATCTACGTATGTGAAGTCTCGATGAAGCTGTCCAAGTGTAGATCCAACGCACTACTCAAGTAGGCTTTCCTAGTGCCATTGAGAAAGAAATGCCCTTGACGCATTTCCACTTGCTTCTAGCTTTTCTTTCTAGTTGCTATATTCCAGTAGTGATTCGAGAAAGAATTCATGAGTGACTGACTATACTATGGAACTAGTCTACTGTTAAAGGATGTACACCTCTTTCTTATGGATAGATGGTGCCACCGCGCTGTACAAAATCCTCTGTTTACGATTCTCTCAAATACGAATTTTCTTTATCAACATGTTAGCGAGAAGAGAGACAACAGATGGAATTAGAGAGAAAGGTGGAGCTTCACCAGGCCTTTAGTGATTATTTTTAAGTCTTGTCTAAGCCCCAACCAATCGGGTAAGCGAACTATCTTACGACAAGAAGTAGTCATGGGAAGGGTTACCCGTAGAATTTAGAATCGGTAGTAGCCCGGGTTCGGGCATTACAAAGGACTGCCAGTAAAGGGCCAAGCAGAGGCTTCATCTAGTACCCCCAAAAGCAAGCAGAGAATCAGTTTATTCGTGAAAAGATGGGACGAGAAGTATACTAATATATAAAAGTGAAAGATAAAATAACCTTTTCCGAGATCGATTGGATATACTCTTTAACATCACAACCTAGCAAGAATCTTACAACGTCAAAAAGTGTAATATTACTATGTCGATCGCCATCAAACACATCGATTTTTAGACGATATCTACAAAATAATGCATAACTATATTTATAACTTATTTAATATCAAGGGATCTAAAGGAAGTGAATGAGTATGAATATTACCTTTCTTCGTGATCAACGTTTTTTGACATACAACTGCTACAATTCGCAATTTTGTTTTCAATATTGAATTTCTTATAGCATTTCTTGCAAGAAGAATACCACGGCTCATCTTTGTCTACAAGCGTTGTTATTCGTGCATTAAATCTACAATATGAATCCTACACATAACAATTATTTAATTTTGTTTAACACATTCAAAAGGAGTATAATCATTCTAAAGTATTTGACAAAACTTACCTTCATTGTTGCAGATGAACCATTTATGATATCTTTGATCTTCACTTCTTTGGCTTCTCTAATTAGCTTAGATGGCATTAAAGTAATATCTTTATTTTGCGCTTTCATACCATCATACTTGTAAATTCATTAAATTTAATGGACTATCATATGGAATTAAATATGGAATTTAATGGAATTTAATGGATTATCAATTTAATGAATTTAATTGAAATGTCGGGTGGATCAACACACTACTAATATGAATCGTAGATATACCAAAATCCCCTACTCACAAAAGACAAATAAAGCTTAGTATAAATTTAATTGATAAAGAATTAATTGTGCTTATAAAAACTTCTTATATAATACCTTGAAAAATCGACCTTTTCACATCACAAAATGCTACGACAGGTTTTTCATCTATCAGTTGTTGTTAGAATTTCATCATCTTTTCAGCTAGCTCACCCCACATGGTTATAGTTTTACGACATGCCTAAATTTTACAATTGAAATATGTATTAATTGTGCAAGAAATAAGTAAATATTTTATCTGTTGTAGTTACTTAATATAACTAATTTTTACTTACGTTTCATCTGTAACTATTATTTCGAGCCTCTTTTTTTCTCCCACCATTGATGGTCCCTTTGCTTTTATCGGTATGCAAATTACGTTTGTGAAAAGTACAAAGAGAAATCACACGTAAGTTACAAAGTAACTATTAAAAGGAATTAATGTGAAACTTAAATACAATAAAATAAAAGTATCCAATATTATCAAAAGATGGCGAGAAAAAAATCACCAAATAATGTTTCGATGGTGGATTTTGTTGCCTCTTCTAAAGATAGAAAATTTTTTCGAAAATTTTGTGGTGGAAAAGTGGTTGGTGCATTCCGTAACTGTAGTATAATTGCTAAAAGATATTTCCAACTCCTTGTGCATAGATAAATAGATAGAATTAGCAGCCTTCACGCGACCATTTATAATGTAATAGCTTTTGTTTTGTTGAAATAAAATTTTCCAATCTTCAACATTTTTATTGAACAGTACTGCCTGGATCTTTGTTCCCTATAAATTAATATAAAAATAATTTTAGATTAATTAAAAATAATACAAATAAGTAATAAATTATATCAAAATAAATAAACAAAAGAAGCCTACCTCTTCATCAACAAATGTTAAATGCCAATGCAAACCCTCTCCTTTGTCGTTCTTATATTTTATTATTGGTCCTCTTCGAATAACCAATACCTTAATTACCCATTCAACATCATAAATTTTAAGGTTATTTATTGGGATACATTGTTTTTTCAAATCTGATTCTATTACACTACGTGAAATACCTGCAATATATAAGTAAAAGCTGCAAAATATTATGTAATAGCTGAAAATTAATATTGTTACACTAACATTAATTGAAATAATATAAACCATTAATCTCTAAAGATATACAATTTAAACATAATACTACTTCAATGTAAAAGACTTTGATATGTAAAACTAAAAACTACGCCGAAAAACAAAGAAGTACGACACAAAAAATAATTACAATAAAAGTTAAGATGTCATCGTTTTTCTCATTAATTCATATACATGACCCTAAAGCATTACTCAATTACGAAAAATGGGAACTTACTCAATTATGAAAAACGGAAACAATAGAGAGAACTAATATTACCTTTGAAGAAAATACTTTGTTCTACACCAAAATCTTTAGAGAACAATGAACAATGTGGAACAATGCCATCTTTTATAGGAATAATTGGCTTATTCTTTTCCTACATGAATTCGTGCAATTAAGCTGAATTCTATGAGAGAAAATTAAATAAGGAAAAATATTGTTATCAGAAGAGGAAAAGGCTACAAAAAAAACATTGGCGAAAAATATTCTTGTAAAAAAAGGAAAAAGAATTTAAAAAAAAAAGTTGAGCTAAAGAAACTAAATCGGCAAAAAAGTAGGCCTAAACCAAATCGGCCAAAAAGTAGGCGTCTAGAATTTGATCCAAAGTCAATTATGTAGCATTAATGTATGCGTAGTTTAAATGGAAAGAATAATCAGTCTAAGGTAATTTATAATTATATTCTTAAATTATAGGCTTAATACATAGTTTACCACCCAACCTTTGGTCCAAATTCCCCTTACACACTTTCTGTGGACGATAATAACCTTACACAAGAAACCTTTCTAAAATGTATCTAGTACCCACCTCCTTTGACCAGATCCTGTTAATAAGATATCCGTGTATGTCACGCATTTGACTTTACTTAATTTTAACCCATTACCTTATAATAACTAACCCCGACCCTAACTGGCCCTACCCGACCCACAAGGTAAAAAGCGTTAAAACCAAACTTACCGGAGTTTGTACTTAAAATCCGATACATCTAGAAGGAGCTACTGTAAAGGCGATTCCGGCGACCATCTCAAGCTACGCTTTCATCATGGATTTCCGATGGATTTATGTGGTTAATAGGTTAGTAATTTTCTTCTCCTTGCATTACCCGTTTATTTTAGTAGTGGGTGGGTTGAACCTAGGTTTTTTTTTGAAATTTCTTCTATTTTGCTTAGGGTTATCGGAATTTTTAAAAGGGGAATCTTTTGTCATTATCGATATCACTGTGAAGTTTTCATCTTGTTGCCTTTACAAATAGTTTTTTTTATAAAAAAGATTTGTCTTGTGTTTGCAAACCGTGTGTAAAGTTAGGGTTTAACTGATTATTGTAATAGCATTGCTTTGAACAATGTAATATGCTCTTGTCTTTGTCTCCACTTTTATATTTCATCTGTAGTTCTTTATTTTCAATTGTTGCATGTGGAAAGTTCATTTATTTGTACCTTATTTGTTTGCAAATAATGTCTTTTAAAATTATTACCCTCAGATAGTACCATGATGGGGTATTAGTTCCTGGTAACTTTGCTCGTTATGTGGGTGGTAGTCAAACATTGACCTTAGATGTAGATGTGGATTTACTGTCTCTTATTGAACTGATGAACTACACTAGGATCTATGACTTTCAAAATGTGGTTGAGTTGTATATTTGTCCAATGGATAGGACAAATAAATTGGTAAATATTCTCACAGACAAAGATATTTTAGACATTTGTAATGAATTGGAAGATGGGGATACCTTAGATATTTATGTGACTCATGCTGCCCCTTTACGTGTTGTTGACATAAATGAGGCTAGTAAATGGGTTGGTGGGTCTAATAGTGGAGTTTTAAAGAGCACAACTATCTTAGAAGAAGAGGAGATAGTGAATCTGAATCTGAATCTGCCCCTGCTCATGAACCTACCCCTTCCCCTTCCCCTTCTCTTTCTCCTGAACCTGCTCCTACCCCTGCATAATCAAGAGAACAAGAGAGTGGAGTAGATAGTGAATCAGACTTTGATAATAGTGAAGGCGAGGATGATAATGAGAATGATTCAGACTTTGACAATAGTGATAGTGATGAGAGTGATGGAGTAGATCTACATGTTCCTGGTGATAAGGATTATGGATCTAATGTTCATGAAGAATTTGTACAGTGTAGGGATGAAGTGAAGAAGTATAGGAGGAAAAGGAGTGAAAGGCCAGAAGATAGAGCTGATATTAACCTAGGTGATGCAGGAGTTGATATTGGTTTTGATGAATTAAGAACTGGTAGCAAGCAAGATAGATACACAGGCTTAGTAGGGACAGATGAGCCTTACTTTGGGTCTTCAGATGCTGAAAGTTTTCCTTCAGATGCTGAAAATGAATTTGATGAAGAACATAAGGAGAAAATGGCTGCCAAGAGGAGGAAGAAAGCCCTGATATTTGATCCAACTGTCAAGAAAATAACCTGGGAGTTGGGGCTGATTTTTGAGAGTGTTGAACAATTTAGGTTTGTTGTTAGTAAGTATGCAATTCAGAAAGGAGTTCAACTTGAAAAGTATATTAATGAACCTGGTAGGGTGAGGGTAAGATGCATGCATCCAAAATGTCCATGGATCTTGGCTGCAAGCAAAGATGGCAGATCCAACAATTTTAAGGTAAAAAGGTATTGTCCTGTCCACAAGTGTTACAAAACAAATAAAAACAAGCTTTGCAACTCCAGATACCTAGCAAATCATTACAAGGATAAGATTGTGTGTCAACCAAATATGAAAGTTTAAGAGCTAAAGAAACTCATTAAGGATGAACCGGACATATATGTTGGTAGGTCTAATGTACATAGAGCTAGAGCAAAAATTCTGAAGGAGATAATAGGTGATGTGCATGCTGAGTTCAAGAGACTTTATGATTATAGAGATATTCTGTTACAGACAAATCCAGGTACAACTTGTGTTGTAAAGGTAGAAGATCAAGGTGAAGGCAAGCTTGTCTTCAATTTATTTTATGTTTGCGTCTATGCTATGAAAAAAGGATGGTCTGAAGGTTGCAGAAGGATAATTGGCCTTGATGGTTGTTTTCTGAAAGGCATTTGTAAGGGTCAACTTCTTGTAGCAGTATCAAAGGATGGAAATAATCAGATGTTTCCTATAGCTTGGGCCATTGTAGAGGTTGAGAACAGTTTCACTTGGACATGGTTTCTGAAGTGTGTGACTCATGACTTAGAGCTTCAATATGGAAGGGATCTTACTATCATGTCTGATATGCAAAAGGTGAATATATTCTTCTGTTTCTGTTTTCTGTCAGTATTTATTTTTTCTAATTTCTGTTTCTGTTGGCAACTAATTCAATTCTTTTTATGTTTAAGGGATTGCTTAAAGCTGTATCAGAAGTGTTTCCTGAAAGTGAACATAGGTGGTATGCCAGACATATATTAGCAAACTGGTCCAAAGATTGGAGAGGAGAAACAACTTCTGGAGGTGTGATAGAGCATCATGTGTGGTAGAACTGAATTTTCACCTGGACAGTTTGAATATGCTTGGGAATGAGGTATGTGAGAGCCTCTTGAGGTATAACAAGGAAACCTAGTACAGAGCATACTTCAACTGTGACAGGAAATGGGATATATTTGGAAACAATATGTGTGAAACATTTAATGCTTGAATACTTACTACTCGGCACAAGACAATTATCACAATGTTGAAGGAAATTAGAGTGAAGATTATGGAGAGAATAGAAAAGTTGAGGGAGTTTGCAGATACATGGATATGTGATATATCCCCAATTGCTATAAAGGTGTATCAGGATAACATGACCCAATCTATGAGGTATACAATCAAGTGGAATGGTGAATATGACTATGAGGTTGAGGATACCTCATTAAGAGTGGTGCTGAAGCATTGTGTGAATATGCAAGCTCAAACTTGTACATGCAGGTCATGGATGCTGAAGGGTATCCCTTGTGTTTATGCCATTGCTGCTATGCATTTCAAGAACCTTGACCCAATTAATTACATATCTCACTAGTACCACAAATCCACCTATCTGAAGGTATATTCAACATTCATCCAGCCAGTGTCAACCATGCAAATGTGGCCAACATCTATCAATCCACAAATTGAACTCCCACCAATTAAAAAGATGTCTGGCAGACCAAAGAAGAAGAGAAGAAGAGAAGAAACTGAACATCCTACGTCTGGAAAGCTTTCAAGAAAGGGTATGGAGATGACATGTTCAAACTGTGGTGGATATGGTCACAACAAGAGGAGTTGCCCTAAGAAAGCAAGGCCTGCAGAATCTACTCCAGCAAATGCTTCATATATACAAAGATGTGGAGGAAGAGGAAGAGGCAGAGCAAGAGGAACATGAACTGTTGGCAGAGCTTCAACTCCAACTACTTCTACCATTGCTGCTGCTGGTAGAGGAAAAGGAACTGCTGCTAGTAGATGAAGAGGAACTGGTAGTGGTAGGGGAAGTTCTGGGTTTGGACTATTTCAATCAAGCAATGGGTTCACAAATTTTTCTGTAAGTAGTTTAAAGTTAATTTTATATCTTGTTTGCTTTAACAACTTTACTGAATATTTTCTATTTTTGATAGTCTGGTGGAGGTAAGCCAAGAGTGGTCTCTCATGGTGGTGAAAAGAGGTCCTCGGCAGATATTTTGGAGTGTGCATACAAGCCAAGAATTGGTGTAAAATGGAATGGTAGACCAGCCATTACTAGAAGACAACTTGAAAGAACTGCCGCAACTCGTTCCAGAACTGCCGCATCTCAATCCAATTTAAGTCAAGCAAGTTCATCATCCCAGCCATCCAAGAACAACCACTGAATTCTGTTATTGTCACTGTTAATTTATTTTGGAACTGCTGTAATTTTCCTTTGGAACTGTTGTTAGGTTAATTTGGAACTGTTGTTAGGTTAATTTGGAATTGCTATTTAGGTTTGCTGTTAGTGCTGTTATTTTGTTAAGGTAGCCTGCTGTTATTTTGGTATGCTGTAAAACTGGGCAGCATATATTTTTGTTAAGGCAGACTGCTGCTATTAGGTGACTGTAATGAACACCTTTACTCTATGATGAAATATATTTTTAGTGTTGTTTGATAATTTCTGGGCAGATGTATCTTTAGTGTTGTATGAATGTTGTTATTTTGGTATGTTGTTAAGCATTTGTGCTGTCATTTTTGTATGCTGTTATTTCTGGAAAATTTCAGCATTTGAGTTGTATATTAGCCACTATTTGACTGTGTTTCAGTGTTTTATCACAATTTGAGGTGTGTTTTAACTGCACTATCAGCTCACACAACAACAAAGTCAAACGAAACAACAATAACAATTGCCAAAAAAAATCATTCAACTCACCCAGCAACAAACTCAAACAAAACAACATTAACTATTGCCAAAAGATTTCATTCATTTCTAACAAAGGGATACAAAATCTACCAAAAAACTTCATTCATTTTCTTACATTATATAACAATC